CAAGCACATACCTGAATCACTATGGCAAAACCCCTCCTAGCCAGTTTTCATTTGTTCCTGTTTGCCTTTGTTATTGTGAATGGAATCTAAACTCTGTTAGATCACATTTTAATTCCATATGTGATTATTGTTTCTCAGTTTTATACTGATCCTGTAAAGAATTATAATAGTCTAAGATGTAAATATCTGACAGAATGTTTGTGAAAGTTAATCTAATGGCCACTGGCATCAATAGTCAATGGAGAAACTCTTTATTTTAATAATATCTGGGTATTATTGTTTGTGAACTATTCAATTTTTATAATACAGATTTGAGATGTTAATATATTTTTCTTATTTTGGACCTGTACCTAGAAATAGTCAGTTTGCCTCTATTCTGTTTGCAATTTTAATATTAAAATAAATTTTGAGAAAAATAATTATTTGAAACTACAGCTACTGTGGTAATTAGTGCAGTTTTAATCTAAACTCTGTAACAAAGGTACTCAAAATGCAGCAGTGTAAACATGGCAGAATTTTTACTCTCATATGTTCTCTATTTTTGTATCTCAGATATGACAAGAAACAGCAATTCAACCTTGCCATCCACAGCCCAAGGTTCCCTCATTGTCTTCCAGTTTGTGCACAGGGAAGAATCACAGATCATTTTTAAAAATAAAAAAAAATTGGCCGGTGCCACGGCTCACTAGGCTAATCCTCCGCCTTGCGGCGCCGGCACACCGGGTTCTAGTCCCGGTCGGGGCACCGGATTCTGTCCTGGTTGCCCCTCTTCCAGGCCAGCTCTCTGCTGTGGCCAGGGAGTGCAGTGGAGGATGGTCCAAGTGCTTGGGCCCTGCACCCCATGGGAGACCAGGATAAGTACCTGGCTCCTGCCATCGGATCAGCGTGGTGCACCGGCTGCAGCGCGCTGGCCACGGCGGCCATCAGAGGGTGAACCAACGGCAAAGGAAGACCTTTCTCTCTGTCTCTCTCTCTCTCTCACTGTCCACTCTGCCTGTCAAAAAAGAAAAAAGAAAAAAAAAGAAAAAAATTACATGTTTTTATTCAAGAAACGAAAAGTGATATAGAGAAGCAGTGAGACAAAGAGACAGAGATCTCCCATCTGATAGTTTACTCTCCTAATGCCCAGAATGGCCAGGACTGGCTCAGGCAGAAGCTTGGAGTTAGAAACTCAATCCAGGTCTCCTATGTGGATGGCAGAACCCATTCCTTGGCTATCCTTCTGATAGCCATCACTGCTACCCCCAACAGTCTGCAGTAGCAAGAAGCTAATCAGGAGCCACAGCCAAGAATCAAACCAGCATCTTAACTGTGAGGCCAGATGTCTTCCCTAGGTGATTTCTTTTCATATTTCATTGACTAGAATGAGTATCTTTCCCACATCTAGTTCAATGAGCATCCAGCAAAAATGAGCTTTAACTCTTTGACTAAAGGCTAAGGGATACTAGGGCACGACTTTCAGTCTATCACCCAAATACCTGGGTGTATGTATCTCCCCCTCTCTTGCTTCTCTTATGCACTTTGCACTCGCTGTTAAAAAGATCCATTCAGGAAATGGAAGAACAGGCAGTTGACACCTGCCATTTTCAAGGAGATGACCAACTCCTCCTGGGTAGGAATTTCAAACGTTCCCTTTCCCAACAGTGAAATCATTTCCTTGACTAAACCCCACTCACACTACCTAGGAAGAAGCATTTAGTCCCTTGTCATTATGGTTTCTACCACCTTGTCCCTTGAGTTTCCTTTCCATTCCTCTAGGACTGCTCTGATTTGTGCGCATTGTCCTTTGCAATACCAGTATTCAATGAGCGAATTCTTTGTTCTAAATTTGTATCGCTTTCATTCACAACAGTTTTTAATTATCTTCTTAAGAGAGAATTATAAAACATTTCCTCCTTGGAGCTGCACACATTTTGTGGTCTATATTCTGCCAAGCCGTTTGGGAAGTACTGGAGTTGCTTTAAAGGTCAAACACACATTGGCTTTTGCAGATCAATACAGTTCCCTCAAAAAATTAGTATGCTTTTTGCCAAGTAACCTACAGTAAGATCCTTGGGCAAATAACCATAGAGGAGATCTAATCCAAACAATGTTGCCATGCTCGCAGACTGCTTTCTGGCTAGTTTCTTTACTCGGGACATTTTTGCTCTCCCTCGATTTAGAATGTCTTCTTTGAATCTATCAGAAAATATTAGTCTAGGCAGGAATGCATCACCTTTAATCTGACCTGTGATATTAGAATGAGCCTCCTTGGTTAACTGAGAAATTTTAATGTGGGTGCTTGAAGAAGCCAGGGTCTCTTTACTGCCTAGGCTGCTTTCTCCCCAAATCACCTATTACCATGAGCCTGAGTACATCTCATCACAACACTTTGCACAGAACAGCCAACATATATCAACATTCAGTGTTTTTTTCTGGTATTCTGAACTTTCCAGAACAGTTCCCAGGGGTTCCATGTTCTTTTGAAAAGTACTATGCCTTTTTAAAGATTGCAAGTGACAGTTTTATACAATGTTTTATCATCGCATAATAAGGAACACTAGCTTTCCAGCCCACAATATCTGTGTTCTTGTCACCCACTCCCAACTGTTAAATCAGTCTCTCATTTTTTTTTTTATTAGGATAGAGCCCACTTCTAGTAACTGAGTTCTGTTTTATTTAAGATGAAGAGGGGTAGGTGGGAGAAGAGGCCTAAATTCCAACCAGTTAGAAATTTGCATCTCAATAAATATCAAGTTGTAGGTGGTTTACTGGTCCAGCAATTCTACCTTTTTCAGTATGTGACTTCTGACTGTAGATTCAAGAAAGCTCCTTGACCTTCACCATCGCACAATGCTCAGAAAGATGGAAAGGTGGCAATACATGGCATTCTGTATTGTTTTATGGACAAAAACTAGAAATACCAAATATCTGAATATAAGAAGACTTCAAAAAGATCTTAGAAAAAAAGGAAAAAAAAGTTCAGTTTATTTTGGTCCACAAAATTTAAATCCATACATAGTTTTTGCATAACATACACTTTTTAGGAACTGTTTGAAGGCCACCCATATGCATGGATTTCGATGTGTTTTAGCACTGAAATAAACTTACCTTTTAATTCCTTTTAATTCTATTTTCCATGCATTTTTTGAAACCCTCTTATATAGTTTCTGTTTAGATCCTATTGTCTAGAACATAGATACATTGCTATACTTTTCAAAAGGGAGGCTGAGAAGAACAATGTTTGGTTGGATGTCTTGTGATCCATTGGAACTCTGTTATTGAATGAGGTGAAGGCAATATTGGCCGTTATGCTACTCTGCTATTCAGAAACATACCTAAATATATCAAGCAGGAAAATGAATTCAATATAGAGAAGAAAATACTTTCAATTATAATGAAACAAGGAGCCAAAGGTGTGGGCCCTAAACTGGAAGAGAGTACAACAGAACTGCCGCACCCAGGCAATGAGATGCCCACTGGAACTATTGACCATGAACATTCCACTTTAGAACCAATTCCAAAGTTACAAAACTGGGAATTAGCTGTCACCGCTACTTGTCACAGTTTCTGTGCCTTTCAACAATGAGGGTAGTGAAGAACAGACACTGAAGTATTGCTTTTTTTTTTTTTTTTTTTTTTTTTTTGACAGAGTGGATAGTAAGAGAGAGAGAGAGACAGAGAGAAAAGTCTTCCTTTTTGCCATTGGTTCACCCTCCAGTGGCTGCCACGGCTGGCGCGCTGCAGCCAAGAGCCAGGTGCCAGGAGCCAGGTGCTTCTCCTGGTCTCCCATGCGGGTGCAGGGCCCAAGCACTTGGGCCATCCTCTACTGCCTTCCTGGGCCACAGCAGAGAGCTGGCCTGGAAGAGGGGCAACCAGGACAGAATCCAGCGCCCCAACCAGGACTAGAACCCGGTGTGCCGGTGCCGCTAGGTGGAGGATTAGCCTAGTGAGCCACGGCGCCAGCCTGAAGTATTGCTTTTAAAGTCAATTGTAGAAAGAAAAAAAAAAAGCCAAAAGCAACGCAAATACCCCTTCATTGTACTTCCTCAAATTTGTGGAGCTACATCTTATTGGTACAACATAATTCTCTTCCTTACTTTGGGCTGAAAAACCATAGGAAAGTGCCATTTTTAGCTTTTCAGAATCTGCCATCAGTCAAGTCCCCAAGGCACAGGGCATGAATGGTATTTACAAGTTAACCACAGCACCCATTCATGCTGCAGATGCACATTGGGACCCCAGCAGAACACCTGTTAGTAAGGCATTATTTTATTCTAAACTGTTAATGAAATGATTCCAAATGATTATTCAATCTATTTTAGTATATATTTATAACATACTTGTATTTTGGCATAGGTATACTTTGCTGAATGAGTAAATCAAGCCGATAAATGTATACATTACCTTTTAGCATCTTTCTCTATTGAGAAGTCAAAAATCTACCATTGTAACAGTTTTCCATTGGACTATATATTGTTATTGATCATTGTCACTATGCTGTGTAAGAAGTCCTTTGAACTCATTCCTCCTTCTAACTGAAAGTTTGTATCTTTTGACTGATATCTCCCCAACTAACATCCAAGGTCCCAACCGCTAGCTTTTAGTATCTACCATTTGACTCAATTTCTATGAACTTGAAGGTTTTTAGATTCTACACATAAGGAAAGTAATTCAGTACTTTTCTTTTTATATATGACTTATTTTACTGCAACTACTATCTTGTAGGATTATACGTGTTATTTCAAATAACAGGATTTTCTTTTATAAGGTTAGGTAGGATGTCATTGTGTATAGATAATCTGCTCTATAGTGAACCTTTCATCTGTATTTATCCTTTAGTAATTGACAAACTTTTAAAATAAAATGATTGGATTAGTTTCATAAAATGTTGATACTCATTTTGTATTAAGTTTGGGAACATTGATATTGATTTTTTTGCACCTTTAATCTGGATTTTAAACAAATAATGATTTTTGAAGATCTAAAGCTTCAATTTTTATAAATTCTTTATTTCCTATTGATTTGTTTTTCTCTCCTGCCAAGTAAAAGTGAAACTGATTTATTTTTATATTATCAGTAATGCAGCTAGCACTTAAGTTCCAAATAACTGTATCAAGACAGTTTCATCTTCATCTTCGGTTTCATCTTTCATCTTCAGTTCCCTATGGTTGAAGTAGAAGCATGTAAGTTGCAGTTGTTTTCATATTCTTTTCAACAAGGCAGTAATGAGTTCAGATCACAGTACTTGGCAAAAAGGCTAGAGATAGGAAGATATATTTGTAAGTGCCATAGTAGTAGGTACCTTTCTTGTCTCTCAATCACCACACCATATCCACTATCAGCTAGATCCTAAACCCTCCGTAAATACTTGGTCAAAATTTTTGAATTAATAGCTGGTATCCTGCTTTTAAAGGGCTTATGGTAAGAGAATGAGAAGGTTAAATGCTGAGCATACATAAAACAGGTATGTAGTCAGTGTTAAGGTCTGAATCCTCACCCTTTATTTTAAAGTTTGATGCTGTTAAATCCTGTCTTATTGGCGAGGTCTGTGTTAAAGAAACTTTCTCTAAGACAGCAGACTGATTAGTGATGACAGTTTTACCTTAGAATGTATGTTCTGAAAAATAAGGCATTTTGAAAAAAGAAACTACATTTTTCTATAGGGTGGAAATTAGCTTATGAGTTATCTGCATCCCCATGATTATTGCCATTCAACTCACAATAGCTAAGATATGGAATCAACCCTAATGCCCATCAACTAATAACTGAATAGACATTGTGGTATATATACACATAGAATATTAGCCATAAAAATGATGAAATCCCTGGCTGGCGCCGCAGCTCACTTGGCTAATCCTCCACCTGCGGCTCCGGCACCTTGGGTTCTAGTCCCGGTCGGAGTGCCAGATTCTGTCCCAGTTGCTCCTCTTCCAGTCCAGCTCTCTGCTGTGGCCCAGGAGTGCAGTAGAGGATGGCCCAAGTACTCGGGCCCTGCACCCGCATGGGAGACCAGGAGAAGCACCTGGCTCCTGGCTTTGGATCAGCGCAGCATGCTGGCCGCAGCCCACAGGCCATAGCAGCCATTTGGGGGGTGAACCAACGGAAAAGGAAGACCTTTCTCTCTCTCTCTCTCTCTCACTGTCTATAACTCTGCCTGTCCAAAAAAAAAAAAAAAATGAAATTCCTTCTTTTACAACAAAGTTGATACGATTATAGACCATTATGCTTAATGAAATTAACTAGTCCCCCAAAGACAAATAGCATATGCTTTCCTTCATTTCTGATAACTAATATACACAGGACAAAACTAATGTATTTGAGTGAAATTCAGGAAAAGTGCTTTTTTCTGCTTATTATTTGTTGAATTCTTTATTTAGCAGAGGGTTAAGCTTTGATTATAAAATAAATTGAAAGCATCTCATTGCTAAGAAAGGAAGGATGATGGAGGGGCCGAGTGAGGGATGGAACAAGAGTATGGTGGGAAGTATCATTATGCTCTTAAAGCTGTGTATATAAAACACATGAAATTTGTTCACCTTATATAAATTAAAAAATTTTAAGGAAAAGAAATAAAGCTTATATGTACTTGGATGTTCACTTTTTAATGCAATGTGCAATGAGATTTTAAGAGGAGATCTATCAACACACTAAAAAGTTTCATTTGTAACACTTTTAACTTTGCATCTTACAATTAAATGCATAGGCAAAAGAATCTAAAGTAACATTAGCACAATACACAAGCAATAGTATAAACTGGCACTATGAAGCTTCATCTTCATTTTTTTATTTCCCGCTTCAGGGTTGATGGTGGTATCTTCAATACTTTACCTAAAACCTTAGCAGACTGATATCAGGTAGAACAGAAAACTTTACTTGTTTACTACTTAGACATAGGATAAGCCAGGAAAAAATCAACTGAACAAATATCAAAATTATCCCCTTGTTTTTATTTTTTAGTTAAAAGTTATACTGAAGTAGGTAAGCAAGGAAACAGGTGATATTGAAGGGCATCTTTTCAAAAGAAACAAATGTAAGTTACATTTCGATACCCTCTCTTGTTAATGAATAATGATAATCAAACTATTCTAACTTTACCTTGCAGTTTTACCAAGATTATATTATTCTTTTTCATTATTCATTGTTTTTTTCTTTCTCCTCCAAAATGAGTTTACCATCATACTGGATAAGAGATTTGAAGGTATAAAATTTTCCAATTATTCTGTGGATTATTTTCTTAAAATAGTGACTCATTTCAGTGATGAATTCAAAGATATGTTAAGTAATAACATGAATGTGTTAAGGGAAAATATCAACATATGAAGTTATATTTTAAAAATATCACTTCTCCAGAGTTGTGAAAGTAAGAAATGAAATTCAGTTGACAGTTGATTATTAACATATAAAGCAGCCATCATTTCCCCATGTATCAGGACCCTTCATTTCTAAGCTAAACTTCTGCTCTGTGGTGACTTCTTACTTTGTAAGAGAAGAGGTGCAAGGAAAGATGTGCAATTTTGAACCCTCAATATTATAAACATTTTTCATATGCAAGAACTGAAAATGACTGTAATTCTCTTTTTATTTTCTCTACTATTCCATCCAAAATAAAGCAGTCTTATAGAAAATGAACTGGAGAGAAGGAAAAGAGAGAAAAGAACAGTAAGAAGTTCCTTTGACTTATTTTGGTGATGGAAATGTGATCTCATATTTTTCGTATTAAAAGTTTCACTCAGTAAAGAATACTTTGGCTGAACCTAACTGACAAGGATCCAATTACATAATTTCTCACATTACCTCAAATTCTATGCACATTGGCCAATTTTAAGATTGGTATACCAAAACAACAAAAACAAACTAGCTACATATACTTTCCTACTAATCGTGTAAATTCATTTTTTGCTGTTTCCTCACAAATATTGTTAGATAAAATAATTCTGATTAGCACAGAAAGCTTATTCAATGCTACATTTTGGGCTTAAATCCTGTATTCATTACGTCAGCCCAAACTCTTTTGTTTCCAAATAACCCTCCAGGGTTTGATGAAAAATAAATTCCTAAACATGCCAAAACAGCCAAACAGGAATAAAAACCTCCAGTGAAAGCATCATGTTCTCCTGAAATAGAAGTGTTTTAGCTTGTGTGAGTATACTGACTCTAAAAACAAACAAAAAAAAAGTGAGATCATATTTCATTTCAGGACTATGTATGTTCCAGGTAAGAGATTAAAAAGAACTTTCTAAACTTAATGAAATACATAGAAAAGTATTTCAATCCATGTGTATTATGGAGGCTAAATAGCTTAATTATATTGTAAAACTTAGGTGGTCATTAAGTTTAAAATCTGCTTAAGTTTGTGCCATTTTTTTAAATGTATTTGACAGGTAGAGTTATAGACAGAGAGAGAGAGACAGAGAGAAAGGTGTGCCATATTTTTAAACAAATATCTGGCTTTGTAAGTAGTCTACAGGTTATAATCAGATGATAGATCATTCCAGTAGATTTAACTGTTTCTCTCTCTCTCTCTCTCTCTCTCTCTGTGTGTGTGTTTCTCTCTCACACTCTTGCTGACTGACCCCCATAGATTTTTGCATTGGTTTCACATCATTCATATCACTTCCTAGCTCTAACTTTCACACCCATCAGGATCTTGAGCTAATTTCTGTTAGATCTGCTGGTAGACTTTTCTTCATGCAGTTTCTCTTCAGTATCTTGAATCTAGTGGCCACTAGACTATAGACTGCATGAAACTATGACACCAAAAAAGAAATTCTTGCTAAACAGAAAGTGGATATTCTTAATATATGGGCTCCAAGTTGGCCACAGTTCCTATTGGAGAGAAGCAAATATACTAGCTTGTGCTGTACCCACATACTAGGCTTCTGATGTACCCTGTCTGCCTCTGTCTTTACTAGGTCACTAAAGGTCAAGGTGAATCTAATATGTGTCTCAATTTGCTTACTTTCTTACCTGGCAAACAATTGTACTTCTGACACTTGAGACTGAAGAAAGAAATGTGTTATACTGCACTGTTTAAAATCGATGGTAATATGTAACCTCTATACAGTACTGGGTTTTGTAAAGGTGTTATCTAATGTCACATTGCGTATCAGGCAACATACTCAGAGAATCAGGTTCAATAACACGTGACATTCATGTCATTAATAACTTTATTCAGGACTTCAATTTGAATCTTTTTTTCCCTACTTAAGAGCTCCTTCCATAATATAATATTGCATGCATATCTCATTCATTTGGTCCAGCTGGAATGCAAGTTTGTGAATTGAGCATACACTTGTAAATGGTACCATGACTGACTGGCAACAAAATGAAATGGCTTCATCCAGTTCTAAGGGTCATATTGAGAAGATAAGTCTTCACTGATTTATTACATGAGCCTCTTGTTACTATTTGTTACTATGAGCCTCTTGGTACTAGGCAATAATGTTGATTTTTTTCTGTCAGAGCTGGGATCATCAACGCTTGCAACTCTCTTGGAGTTTAAAAGGAAAAAGTGATAAAATTGTCATTTCTTTTCTAAGAGAGAATTGCATATAGTCCTGACTAAATTATTACTTTAGCTCCAAATTTATGATTCAATGTAACAGTTTTCAGATATCATAGCAAAAATCCAAGCATAATTAGGGCTAAATTCATTTCACTATCATCAACTGTTAGCATTGGTTCTTTCATGTAATAATTTGTGCTTTTATAAGTTACTAATTATGACATATTTTTCTTGGCTGGAATATTTTCCTCAAATACTTTGAGCTACAAAATAGGGGTAATGTGAGTTTCCTACAGAAAAGGTTTTCTTTTTGTTAACTTTAATTTTTATTTCTGAATTTTTCCAACTTTGTTGTAATTTCCTTTGTGAGTTAATTAGAACTATCTTTGATGTTTACAAATATATGATTTCTTCTGTGTATCGTTTTCTATTTACTGATTTTTACTACATTGGGGTTAGAGAGAATAGTCTGTATGATGACTTTAAATTATACTAAAAGAAAGAATATGAGGTCAATATTCTAAACAGTGGTTGTTTTCAAATAGAATATTGCTTCCAATTATTGGGTGCGGTATTCTATAGAAGTCCATTACATCAAACTTGTTCATTGTATTTTTCATATCTTCTGTATGGCTAATGATATTTTTGTCTGATTGATCTATACATTGTGTGAGATTCCTGTTAAACACTTCTGTTAAGAAGATGGATTTGATCATTTCTGTTGTAGTGCTATGGAGTTTGGAGGAATTATTGTAAGTACCTATCTCAGATATTCACCTTGTGTGTTGGATTTTTGCCTCTATAAAGTGCTCCTCCTTACCTCCTGAGCTTTTTCTTGTTTTCTTGGTTCTGGTAGGGGGGCCTATTTTCTGTGTTTGTCTGTGTTTGTGTTTTAATATAACTACACAGGCTTGTTGTTACTGTTATTATGGATTGCCTAAAATATCTTTTTAAATAATCTGAATTTTAAGAAATTATCATCATTTGGTTTCCCGTATATCTGTGATAAGCCACCCTTAGCTTTTTAAAAATCATTTTCAACACAATTAACAACCTGTTGTTTTTATATATTTCCAGAACTTTACACTACATGTTTCTGCTATTCACTTGTTTATTTCTCCATGTTAGAGAATGCTGACATTTGCATCTCATTTAACAGAAGACATGACAAGACATTTGTCCTCCTTTGGCCTCCCCTACCAAAATCAGCATCATACTTTTTCCATCCTTCTTGCAACTTGACACAGTTCTTCTTTCTTTCTTTGTCTTTTTTTTCCCCATTCCCTCTTCTCTTTCTACTGCCAGAAAGGCACATCCTTTGTTATCTCAATGTTTTATTCAAGAATATTAAGTTAACTATTTCTATGCTTTCTCCTGGACAATATGTGTAAGTAACTTTTAAAGCCCAGGTCCCCTAACCCGATTCATAAAGTCTTGTGGTCCAGTGTGTAATTTTTTTTATTATTTTTATTTTTCACAGGCAGAGTGGACAGTGAGAGAGACAGAGAGAAAGGTCTTCCTTTTCTGTTGGTTCATCCCCCAGTGGCCGCTGCAGCCGGCGCGCTGTGGCTGGTGCACCACGCTGATCTGAAGCCAGGAGCCAGGTGCTTCCTCCTGGTCTCCCATGCAGGTGCAGGGCCCAAGCACTTGGGCCATCCTACACTGCCTTCCCAGGCCACAACAGAGAGCTAGACTGGAAGAGGAGCAACCGGGACAGAATCCGGCGCCCCGACTGGGACTAGAACCCGGTATGCCGGCGTCGCAGGTGGAGGATTAGCCTATTGAGCCGTGGTGCCAGCCTAGAGTGTAATTTTATCTAACTTATTTGCCCTCCACATTAGAATTGTTCCTATTTCTACAGCTAATATTTAGAATTATCACATTAACTTCCATCTTTCTTCCTCCTTATTTCTGATGATCTCAGGAAGATCTCCTTACCAAGTACATTCTTTAAAAATTTCCCTCGTCCAGCGCCGCGGCTCACTAGGCTAATCTTCCCCCTGTAGCGCCGGCACCCCGGGTTCTAGTCCCAGTCAGGGCACCGGATTCTGTCCTAGTTGCTCCTCTTCCAGTCCAGCTCTCTGCTGTGGCCCGGGAGTGCAGTGGAGGATGGCCCAGGTCGTTGGGCCCTGCACCCGCATGGGAGACCAGGAGAAGCACCTGGCTCCTGGCTTCAGATCAGTGCAGTGCGCTGGCCGTGGCGGCCATTTGGGGGGTGAACCAACAGAAGGAAGACCTTTCTCTATGTCTCTCTCTCATTAACTCTGCCTGTTAAAAAAAAAATTCCCCCAGTTGTGGTATTCTAGAAATAAGCTTCCTCAGTTTTATACCCGTGTGTCACTTCGCATTTGAGTTGGGTTCTGAGAAATGCAGTGATAGGCAGTTTGTCATTTTGCAAACATAACACATCTGTACTCCAACCCAGAGGGCTACAGCATCACTAGGTGATAGGAATTCTTCACTTCCGTTATAATCTAATGGGACCACTGTCATTTTCATGGTCCACTGTTGACCAAAGTGCTGCCACAAGACTGTATTTATGAGAGGATGTTTCTGTTTTGTTCCCTGAGTGACAGTTTTGCTGAGACATTCTTCATCTGGTATTTTTGTTTCCTGATCATGTTGGTTTCCTGCTTTTCATTTACATCCCATTCTGATTACTCTCTCCTTATTGTTCATCTATGAATAGGAGTGATTTTTTTCCTTAGCCAGCTACTTTTTAAGGACTGTATGTAAGAGAACCAAGAAAACGAGCTCTGTGAGCAAGCAGCCTGGAATTCATGCCTGTGGTGTCCAAAAAGTTTCTTGTCAACTCTCCAGCTTCTGAGTGACTCCCTTCTGGCGAAGGAAAGTTATAGGGAACGCCGGCTCCCGGCGAAGGCTGGCGCATCGCCTTCTGAAGGGCCATGCAAGGCATTGATTTGTCTCGGTGACTGAGATCAGTGTCACCACAGTTTCTGCCTCTTTCTTGCCAGACTCATTGCCTGCTTGCTAACATAGTTTTAATACAATCTTAGTAGCATCAGTGTGGGTATTTCAGTGCTGTGCCCATATATGTGTTTGCCTGTGTGTGGGCCTATGTGTGTGTATTGTGTGCATGTGTGTTTCTGTGTGTCTGAGGATGTACATGGATGATGATGTATTCAACCTCTGAGAAGAGACTTCTGTGGGAAGAGCCACTTGGGCTCTGCTGGAATCCCTCTTCAGATGGGCACTGGCTATTTTCCAATTTAACCAAATTTCAATTTAACCAAATCTATGAAATTAAAATGGAATAATGTTGTAACCCCAATCTAGTTTAAGATTCTCTGAACACATTAACATATATGCACACATAGCCTTAATAGAAAGTGTCATTGGGAGGTTTTTGTCTTGTCTCAAATTTATGGTGATTTTATGCCTTTCATATGACTTACCTTATTTTCCACTTTCATGTAGTGTTCATATATCTGGCCTATTTGGTGGTAAAAATTTCTGCTCTAATAAATTGTCTTTTCTCTATTATTGTTAATTTTCATTCATTTGTGTCCATTTCAAATGACTTTACCAACTAATTATATTTGTTATTTCAGATTATTTTAAACATTTATTGAAAACCACCAGATTTTCTTTTAGCCAAATATAACAAATGAACAATGCACATGCTATTTTTTAAAATCATAAAACTATAAGTAGTGTGCAAAATAAAAATCAAGACAAAAACAAATAATACAAATTTTGAAAGTATAATTCCTTTTTGGATCGAACAATACAATATAATTCATTTTCACACCATGCCTTAAACTTAAACATCACTACTGGTCAATGATTTCTATTTTAAGAGGTTTATGAGGGGCCAGCACCATGGGATAGCAGGTAAAGCCACCGCCTGTAGTGTTGGCATCCCATATGGGCACCGGTTTGAATCCCAGCTGCTCCACTTTCTATCCAGCTCTTTGCTATGACCTGGGAAAGCAATAGAAGATGGTCCAACCCTTGGGTCCCTGCACCCATGTGTGAGACCTGGAAGAAACTCCTGGCTCCTGGCTTTGGATCGGCCCAGCTCTGGCCATTGCGGTGGTTTGGGGAGAGAACCAGTGGATGGAAGAGCTCTCTCTCTGCCTCTGCTTCTCCTTAACCCCGCTTTTCAAACAAATACATAAATCTTTTTTTTTAAAAGAAGTTTTTGAAATGTTTATTTATTGTTTATTTTTTCTACTGTAAAGGCAGAGATACAGAAAGAGAGAGAGAGAGGCAGGCCATCCTCTCGTTCACTCCTCAAATGCCAACAGCTGCAGTCCTGGGCCAGGTGGAAAACGGGATCAAAGAACCAAATCCAGGACTCCCAAGTGGGTGGCAAGGATTCAGCTTCTTGAGTCGTCTTTTGCTCCTTCCCAGGGTGTATGTTAGCAGGAAGCTGGAATGGAGAACGAAGTAGTACTCAAACCAGGCACTCATGTATGGGATGCTTGCATCTGGGGTGAGAGGTTAACTGCTGCACCAAACCCTCTACCCAAGAACTTCTGATAATCCTAGTTTGTCAGAAGGTTAAATCATAAACTGTTGCAATCAAGATGGGATTGTTGAATTGATCTTTTAAAATGTTATTTTCTAATGATTAATTAGTCTTGACTCTTCCACTTCCTACCTATATGGATTCTGCAAGATGCTCAAATTATTTGCAACTTAATTTTCTCTAAATGAAGGTTGTTAATGCAGGCTCACAGAATTCTCATAAGGATTATGTTTTGTATGAAGATTAAATAAATTAAAACTATAAAACTTATAATATCTGCAACATTCTTAATTAGCTCTAAGTGTTACTAATTGTAATTATTCAAAGATATTTTTCTAGTTCATTATTTTGGAAGTGAACAATCATTCAAGATATGTTAATAATTGTGACTGGAAGAGGTATAGCCACTTTTAGCCTTTCATTCTCCTGTAATATGACAAAGGATAAGGCACATGGCCCCTTTTGGACTAAGAGTCCCAGCACTTCTCCCTTGGCCTGCCACTGACATGTGTGGTGTATCTAAGAAATATGTGTATTATCCAAACCAGGTCAGTTAGATTCCTTCCCCTAAACTGACATGATTTGCCATATGAGAGCATGTTCCCCACCCTTGGATGTAAAGCCCATTTGCCACAGGAAACAAAGAAACTACAAAAGGGAAGGAATTAAAACAGAGCAAGAAAATCTTTGTTGAACTGTGTGCATGTGCCCAGTTCACATTACCGTCCTTTATGCACTGACTTCTGCCACTTTTGACCAACAGTCCTGATCAAAACAGGGCCACTTACAATGTATCTTGAGCAAATTTGTTTTAAAAGCATCACATACTATAGCCCCTACTTGAAATTTTACAAAATATACTATGCATTCACAAAGTAAAGTTAACATTCTAAAGACTCCTACAACAAAGGGAAACACATTTACCTTACTTCAACTCACTGTTTCTCAAACAAGACTTTATAGTTCAGATATTTAATTCCAATAGAATTTATTTTCCATTTTAATCTATTTTTAATGATGTTAAATATTATCTGAATGATTAATCTGGTGTAACCTAACATTTAGTCCATGTCTAACTTGACCTAAAATAGGCATACACTAGGGTCTTTTGATGTGTTTTGTCTTTTCCTCTTTGATGATGCATATATTCAACTGTTCAATAGATTCTATATTATAATTATTGTCTTTAAAATGTGTATACTTGTTCAACACAAATCTCTAAAATATTTTCCTATCCTTTCCTTTTCTTGGCCTATT